TCGAGCCAACCTGTGTTTCCCAAGCCATCAAAGATCCTTTATGGCGAACTGCCATGGATGATGAGTATAATGCTCTCCTTCACAACCACACATGGGAGCTTGTTCCACCATCGTCCCACAGACCTATTGGTTGCAAATGGGTATTTTGCGTAAAACGAAAACTAGACGATTCCGTTGATAAGTACAAAGCCCGTCTGGTTGCAAAAGGTTTTCATCAACAACCGGGCAAACACTTCTTTGAAACCTTTAGCCCAGTCACCAAACCTATCACCATTCGAGTAGTTTTATCCCTTGCTCTTACCAAAAATTGGAATCTTTGTCAACTCGATGTCAACAACGCCTTTTTACAAGGCACATTGCATGAGGACGTTTACACGATTCAACCTCCAGGGTACAAAAACAAACAGTTTCCAAATCACATTTGCAAACTTCAAAAGTCCCTGTAGAGTCTTAAACAGGCACCACGAGCGTGGTACATGGAACTCACAACCTTCCTCCTGAGCTACGGGTTTAAGAAATCTCAATCTGATGCCTCCCTCTTTATCTATAGTCATAACGGGATAATCATGTATTTTTTAGTGTATGTGGATGACATTGTTTTGACAGGAAATTGCACAAGCTTCATGAACAACTTTTTGGATTTCCTGTCCAAAAGATTCTCTTTCAAAGACCTTGGCAATCTTCATCACTTTTTGGGTATAGAAGTTATCTCCACTCATCAAGGCATGTTTTTATCTCAACATAGACACATCAATGATCTTCTCACCAACTTTCACATGGATGGTGCAAAAGATGTGGTCACCCCGTTAAGCTCATCTGAATCTCTCTTTTTGGAAGATGGATCATCCAAAATCGATCCAACTATCTACCAGAAAATCATTGGCTCTCTCCAATATTTAGCATTCACTCGCCCGGATGTTTGCTTTGCCGTTAATAAACTGTCACAATACATGTATGCTCCCACCACTAAGCACATGCAAGCTCTGAAACGGGTCATGCGGTACCTAAAGGGCACTATTCACTATGGATTGTTTTTAAAGCGCGACGCACCCTTCAACATTACTGCCTTTACCGATTCCGACTGAGGTGGCATCAATGATGGGGGACGGTCCACTTTGGCATACCTCATCTACCTTGGCTCGAACATCTTCTCATGGAAGTCCACACGTCAGAAAACTGTCTCTCGATCCTCAACGGAAGCCGAATACAAGGCTTTGGCTAATGCGGCTGCTGAAGTCACTTGGGTTGAGAATCTATTACAAGAACTTCATATCACAGCTTCCAAACCACCGAGCCTATATTGCGATAACACAGGTGCCACATATCTGTGTGCCAATCCAGTCTACCACTCCCGAATGAAGCACGTCGCACTTGATTATCACTTCGTTCGAGAAAAGGTTGCTGCTGGACTACTCAAGGTCTTTCACATCAACTCCAAAGATCAACCGGCTGATACTCTCACTAAACCGCTTACTCGATGACTCTTTCTTAAGTTCAGATCCAAGATTGGAGTCTCCAATGGAGCCTCCATCTTGCGGGGGGTATTGAGGATACCTCCATAAATCCCTCCAAGATCACTCAATCATCTCCATAATAATATATATCATATTTAGTCAGTCAAATATATAAATACATAGCTTAATTTACTCATGTAAATCCTCTCTGTGAAGGCTATATATTGGCCTCATATTCTCCTTATAATTCATAAAATCAATACGTCAATACACTAATAATTTGTGCCTAGCTAAGCTCTTACTAATTAAGTAGTAGGAGGTTCATATACAAAAGTCTCATCATGGTAGACACTAGACACATGTCTGCCTCTGAAAAATGTTCTAGTTGTTGAGTATGGTCATGAGTATGAGTCACCACAAGGTGAAGCCTACAACAAATCTAGTAATCTAGTACCATTTGATGAAGCGGTCTAACCTTGACTGTTTTAGTTGGCCAACGACATTCAGATCTAGTATTATACGATTACGTGTTTTTGTTGCATTTTGCTTATGTTTTTGTCATGCCATGTCAATATGAGAGATGTATAGAGAGAGAATGTGAAGAGAAAGAGAATGAATATATATGGAGAGAAAGAAAATGAGAATCTGTATTCACAACTACAAAGATAAAAGCTAACATATGGCTTAAGTTGTCTGTTTATCAAGTCCTGTGTGTATTAAGTTGTCTGTCTAGATAAATTTGTTTGTAGACGAGGTGCGAACGGGTTTGAGGGAGGCAAACAGAGAATGTTGGATTATTTATGGGACATTTGTAGAATTAATTTGTTTGAGGATTGAGGTGGCTTAACAGGGACAAGTGTGGGATCCTCACTGCTTCCATATAGCCATTTTGGTTTAACGGCTTAACGATTAAACCATAAAGAAACATCATGTACAGCTGAACAACTAAGAAGTCCAAACCATTAAGCTCATTAAGTTGTAAGTAAATAGCCCCATACTCCTTGTACATATAGAAGTATGCTGGTGAATTATATAGAGATTGTACACGATTAGCTATAGAAGTGGTACAATACTAGTAACAAGTTCGTACTTATAATCAGCAGTCCTGCAATAAATTACATAATGATATCTTAGAATCTTGTTTTTTGTAAGGTCAAGATTGTGATATATTTATTTAGATAACTGAACATTTAAAAGATTGTAAAACTGTGTTGTTTTGGAATAGAATCAAAAAGTCTATAAGACAATGGGAACATTTTTTAATCATATACTAAATACTTTATCCCAATGAAAATTATAACCACTTTCACATTTCATAATTCTGATTCATGATTATGCAATTGTTCCAAACATCCAAGGCATTTGGTGGGGTATGTAGGATTTTTGCCATAAATCTTTAAAATTTGCAATAAGACAAATTGAAATATAGTGTTCTTTACATCAGCTATATATCCATAACCTAATACTTCTTCAGAATCCATGAATTTATACAGAAGCACTTGAAAAGCATAGGCAAGTTCAATTATCATGTGAAAAAAAAAAAAAAAATTCAATTTAACTTTCAACAAATGCAAACACAAAGACCAAAGTAAAGCCCCCATACTGATCTTCTATAACTCAAACCTTCAACATTCTTGAAATTGGAACATATATACATACATCAGTCATGTCTTACGTGACACATAAAATGTCGCCATTTCCTCAATATATTCATCTCCCACCAAAATGAAAACCAACATCTTTGTGTGCATTCATAAAAACTCTGGTTCTTCATATGAGCATAACACTCAATGTAAAGACTCGTTAATACGAGGCTTGTCATGGCCTTTAATTTCAACAGTAGAGCGAGGAACCACCCTGGTTGCAGCTAGTCTTTCTATGGCAAGAGGAGGCCTCCTGGTCATTTCTCCCTTATAGTTGATTATTGATACTAGGGAACATGCTAGACAAACCTGTCAAGAGAGTAACCAACACGACATTAATTATCAAGCAATATACAAACAAAAACACCACCCACGAAGGCTCCAAGTGCTAATCAAACAATACAACAATAAAGTCAAGCAATATACAAACAAAAAGACCACCCATGAATGCTCCAAATGCTAATCAAACAATACAACAATAAAGGATAGGGACTAGTGCTCATAAAATGTTGGAATCCCATGTCGACAAGACTTGGACCATTTATCCTCGATATATGTTAGAACTTTCCTTCTCTTCTCAATGGCTCTTTTGGCAAATAATACTACTCTATGGACAGACCACTTTGGGACAATTTATGGTTGTCTAGCCCCTCTTGACATTCTGGAACAATTTGTGTCTGTCTAGCCTCCATGCGAGGGGGCGTGTTAGAGTCTCACATCTGCTAGACATTGACAATTTATCTCAATATATGTTGAAACTTCCTTCTTTCCTCAAGAGCTCTTTTAAAGAGTAAACTAATGGGGTCCGACATATTCCGACATAAAACATGGATCAACCAGATATGCAGAATAGGTATGGGTTTTATGCTAGCATGCAATTAACACAACTATAATGTATGGCAAACAATAAACCAACCAACACAATGTAAGTGAGAGAAAAGGGAACACCGAGAACCCAAAGAGAGAAAAGGAGCCGGGGATAATCCACCATATAAATGTTTTCGGTACAAGATTGAAGGAGTATTCAATGCTCTTACAGCCGAAGAAGAGTATGTGTTGGCTTGGGAGAGCATGGGAATAATGTATATTATAGGATAATTAATATGAGCCCAAGAAAACACATTAAAATCCTGTTTGTGTATGGCGACGACTTCCAAATTGCCCCACCGCTTGACGGGTCTTCAATGCAGTAAACTTTTGAACCGACTTGTACAAGATGTGTAGCTCTGAGTGACGTACTGCTCAAAGTCAGATCTAGCTAGAGTTCTAAACAACATGTTGGATTTCAATGTCGCATAGAAGGGCACCTCTAGTTTAGTGAGAGTACTCCCCCTCGTCGGGCAACTTCCATAAGGGTATGTTTGGTATCAAGAGACAGACTGGACAAAACAGGTTTAGCATTTGATAAAACAGAACTAGACAGGACGATATAGAGCCACATAAGAAGATGATATCTTAGAGCATCCAATCCTTTAGATACTGAAGTTAGAACAGTCATAAAACAAACAATACCAAGCATGGTTCCTCTAATTGATCTTTATCGTTAGCAGCAAATTTGCTATTGTTGGAGAGTCCACAAGTACCCACATAGAGTACAAATTTTGTGACGTTCTTTGATTTATTGGAAGTGCTCTCTTTTGATCATGCTAATCATCCAGGACATATCACTATTGCTTGATATAATTTAAAATTTGTGCTTCTTGCTGAAAACTTATTGCTCAATATTGACACTCTTAAATCTAAAATCAATATGTTCTCTTCCTTTTTCTGTTTTAGTTTTTTTTCTTTCAGATCTTTGGATTATTTAATACTTTAATACCCCTTGCATTACTTCATTAAACATGTTCTGGCTAAGAGATCTAGAGGCTGGTATATTTATTCTTTACACTATTTTTGGGGACAG